GTTCCATGTCACAGTAGTGTGATTTATTATAATAAGTACGGTGAAATTCTGTATTTATTCTCAACCTCCATTATTCAGAGACATCAGCATCTTTTAAAAATAGTGTGGCACCCAAAGAATAATTTTACTTTTGAGTACTTGAATACTTCACTGTCACATTTTAAGCCACATTTCCAGTATTTGTATTCCCTCCTACTGGGGGTGTTAACTGACTGCTTCAGACGGGTAACCTAAAAAAAAAAAAAAACTGTTCATATTCTTATTTGTGTGCTATCATCTGTATCCCTTAAAAGAAAATCTTTGAAAATGAAAACTAACAAGTAGCTCAAAATGACAATGATTTTATGGGTTCTGACAAAACTTTTAAATGCACCGTAATCATTCCGTGGCTTGACTATAACTGCTGCTGTAAGAAAAAAAAAAAAAGTCCTGTGTAGCTAATTATTTTTATAGTGTATGCCATTATGGCCTTTGACAGAGAACCTGAAAGTTGACAACAAATATTGGGCAGTATGAGTGAAGCTAAAGTTACAAATGATAAAACAACTGTCCAAGTCAATGCATCAATCATGTGTACACAAGTGAATTTGAAACATATAACGAAATGACAATCGTGTTTTTTTCTAATAAACCTACAACAAAGGGCATCTGACTACACAGCTAGCTTGGAACACAGCTAGCTTGGAACAGTATTCATCTCGATCAACCTCATTTTGAGCAAATGTCATTAAACTGCGTTTGTTTGCTTTGTTTCTCCCAAAACTGAATACCAGGTATTTACCGATAAAAACGTGTGCAGTAAAAAAGAAATAAAATCTGCACTCAGCAGTTATGCTGTGAAAGTGTGTTTATTTGAAATGTAAGTTGCATGTCTAAGTCAAGAGACAGGCAGGTGGAAAAGTCCTGCACACAGATTGCCATCTCGAGCTAAAGCAGCACCGCGGGCATCTGCTGTATCACATGACGTTCACAGGTGGGAAGGAGCCAGTTTTGCCTAGCCTTCTGTGGGCCACTGTCCTGTGGAGCAACTTCAGCCACCGGCTCTTTCTAGCACGGTGTGCTATTGGGTACCATTACTACCTGGAACCATCAGGCAATATGTCCACCCCCAGCCATAGCACATGCAAAGACAGCCCTGCAGAATTTCCCCCTGAGATCAATAAAATTCACCTCAATCTTAATCTGACTTTGGAAACAGATAATGATGCCGTACATAACATGACTAGGTATATGAGTCCCCGTTAATTTATATTTCATAACATATAGTATTTCTTAATACTCTTTCACAACCTTATTTGTACTATGTGTATTATCTTCACATTTGAGTTTTTGCACTACGTGTTTGTATCTGTGCAACTTATGTTCTCTTGCTGCTGTATGCAAATGAATTTCCCCCTGGGATCAATAAAACATATCTCTCTATCTATAGCCCATGAAGAAGGAAACAATTATATGTATTTAGACTGACAGTTGGAATCCCTTAGATACCCAATTCAGTATTTCAATTACCCCACTTACCTGAGGCAGAAGGGCAATTTTCAACCCATGAATAATATAACCAGATATAATTATGTTGTTTCCAGTTGTGTGAAAATGGGTGGTTTGCTTAAACAACCATTTCAGGAATGGATGCAATTTATGTTACCTTAGGCTTCATGAATAGTTTGCTGTTGCTTGCTGCCATTACAAACAACAACCACTCATTACAGTATCTACTCAAAATAGCTACCAAATGGACATGGATGGCTAAGAGTACAAATCAAAGCAGAAACCTTTGTTAATTATTATTTTTACATAATTTTGATATTCATGATTCTTTTTGAATGCAGTCTATTGGAAGTTTTATGATAATAAAATAACAGATAATTACAACTTTTAATTTTAAATCACACACTTTCAGAACAAATTTTGTGCACGTGTGGGATGGTTCTTCATCCTGAAATCTTTCACCACTGAACTTCACTAGGATACATTAATGCACTAGAACGCACCATTGGTGTAGTATTCCCATCCTCAATGATTGTTATTCTTCCACCAACTATTTTTAATGTGTAATTATAATCTTCTAGTTACAAAGCAGATATATTTACAAGAGAGTCCTTTTAACAAATCAGATGGCAAGACCTACAAATTAAGATTCAGATAATAATAGGCCATAATTATAAACTTGATGCAAACTCAAAAGTCACAACACATGATATGAAGCAGACTTTCCCATGACCTCTTACAGGACGATGTAATTAGACACCTGAGGCTAAGCGAAGCCTGCCTACAAACTCTATATCGAGGTACCATGAGAAAAGACCTGGAGCTTTTGCTTCCTGCTATACAATTTAGACAATTATCAATAGCAACAGACTATTGTCTTTCATTGACATTTTACTGCTACCCGTAGCAACTGTGACAAAACCACATCAAAGCATAGAATTTCCTATTATTAATCTATTGTTTTCTCATCCACTAAATACTATTATGTCCAATAACTATGTCTAAATGTCTTGTAGGTCTATTGGAGTCAAAATACATAAAATCACAACTATTTATGTGCAGATTTACATATAATCTGTCTGTCAGATCTGTCTGTTTGTTTGTTTTTTGAGCAATGATGACTTGCTCTCAAGTGTATTCCAATTCAAAGAATAATTACAGCTGAACATATATGTTAATGTGTCCTAATTCCTATGAGTGTCTTTGAAGTCTTCTTCATGATTTTTCTTTTTCAGTTTTTTCACTGTGTACTAATCCACATACGGTCTAGCCCATCAATGACACATTTTGAAAATAACTACCTACATCAGGGACACTAATGTGTGGACATTACTAATAGTTGTACATTATCACCCAGTGAGGGAGATAAGACTATAGTTATCGGAACAAGCATGAGCATTGATTGTGCTTTCAATGTGAGGCACTCTGGGAAATATATTTTTCCAAAATTCAATTCTTTCCTCTAATACAAGTCTAAGGAATGATGTTCCTACAGGTTAATTTAATGGTGCCTCAGGTTCATGTACACTGTTTTTAATACTGTTTAAGCAAGGTCCAAGTGCAAGGCTGATTTTGTTAAACAGTACTACTGAAGTGTATTTACTCAACATACTGGAAAGAACAAAACACGGAATTCGACATTTATACGTTTGAAGATGAAGGACAGCGCTATGTTCCCAGCAGGCAGCTATGCAGGTAACAGACAGTTCAGTGGTTAAAGCCAATCCCTTGGAGTATAAAATGTACAGGTCCAAGTCCTAGAAGGAAGTTTTGTTGAACCATTGATTAAAACACCATTCTGTATAATGGTAAGTTGCTTAGTCAACTAAAAATGTAACAAAGAAAGTGTATTTAATAGGCCTATATAACTTTGGGGAGTATTATGTAAATTTAAATTTTACAGAGAGGAATATGTTTCCATAGAGTATGGATTGTCAGTTTATATTAGCCAAGCTGGGAACGGCGTTCTTCCTCTTGCATTGCATCTCACATCTGCCGAGCAATGTTCTCCGTTTATAACAAAATCCCGTGTGTGTGTGTGTGTGTGTTAAGCCTCAGCCTGCTTGATTATGCAAGTTTTGCTTAATTTATTTACGAGATAACTATTTGTTTGTAGTTCAGATATACTGTAATTACATTTTAAGTAAAATTAATATTATATTGCAGTTATGACATTACAAACAAAGCATCAGGCAATGTACACAACATAGTACGGAGTCTAGGACTGCAGAGCAGAGGCACATAATTTTTGAAAGGTTTCAAATATATTGGGAGGATGTTTTTGTTTTTTTGTAATTATAGTGAAGAACTGGTATTTCGCATGGAAATTATATCGTTTATTGGTCAAATAAGCAATAGCGGTACTTCTGACCTAGTTCCAGATAGTTTCATTGATCTTAGGACTCGTCTCTAGCTCTCCTTCCGAAAGACCAGTGGCCAGAAATTAGAGACAAATTAAAGATGGAGTACAATGTAAAATAACCTATTAGAAACCCATCTTTATATTCCGGTGAAACAGCGCCAATGTGACATTACATACGAATCGAATACCATTCTTTAGACAGCTCAGCGGTTATTATTGAAACTTAATCGATAATTTACCTCTTGAAATTTACACAGCAGTTATGATTTTAACCCGTGACCCAAGATATACCCAAATGCTAATTATAGCCTATCTAATCACTTCGCTGTATGTATGAATAAAATGCATACGAAGTGGAGAAAATCAAACCCATAACCCATTCTCGTGTAATCAAAGGCGGAAAAAATAGCTGCGGAGAATATAAAACATTATACAAGCAATTGCTCATTTACCGTTTTACTCGTTATAATTTTGATACCAAATATAAAACGACAAAATGTAGCATACATTATTTAAGTGCTACACTATAAAGAAATCTAATTAACATTACAAAATACAACTGCTATAGAACAAGTCAGGCTGGTGAAAGTCTTTTCAAATTTGATGGATTGCATACTCAACATATTTCAGTGATCCATCACAAACTACTCCGTCTGTCAAGTCGGGCGAGGAACACACGTGTCACATAAAACACTTGTCACTGAGTTCCTTAAAAAGAACCATGATAGGGATAAAATTGCCATATTGTCAGGGCATCGTGGTGTGATTTCGGAATCCAATCCGACGCACGAGTGAGAGGAGAGTGAAATGCAACACTAATGTTAAAAATCATGAATACATTGAAGATGGATCCAGTGTGGAACTAAGAAATGCTGAGTGGAGAAAACAGAAGAAAAAAGGACACATGAAGCGGCTAGCTGCAGTTGCTTCCTTGGTGAAATTAAATCGTGCAATGGCTAAGTAACGTAAATTAATAAGTAAAGTATTCGTTCTGTTTGAATGAAATAATTAACACAGCCCCGCTTCCCCATCCCGCTACAATATGTGAACTGGGTGTCAGAAAAAAATAAAACAAAACTCGGAAGGAGGTGGAGGAAACTAAAAGTGGGTGGAGTAATAAGACGAAGAAAGATAGATGCCTCTCCTCTTCATGAGGAGCGAACAAAAATAGGTTATTTGGAGGTGGTCAAAAATACTGAACAGGCTGCGTCTGCTTTGGATTGTGTCTCTGCATGTTATATGATTTGCTGTTTATGAGCCTTTAAACTCATTTTTCCCCAAGTGAAGATTTTTAATGTTTTGTCAACGCCGTGATGTGATTGCCCTTGGCTTTCTGTAATTTTTACTTTTTTAATTTTATTTTTCCTCTCACCGTATAGCCAGCGTAGGAGTAGTAATCAACCACTGTGTCCTCTCTCTCTCTTTCTCTCTCTATTTTGTCTCCCTCGCTCGCTCTCTCTCTCTCTCTCTCTCTCTCTCTCTCTCTCTCTACGGCATTTCCTCCAGTGGATCTTGCTTTCCGAAACCGAGCCAGGATCCTCGCATCAGCCTTTACCCATCCATCCGTCGGAAAACCCGGAGCTGCTCGACCCTTGCGGGTTTCTTTTTATATATATGTATATATATCAGGCTGGCAGCGACACTACGGGACAATTTTAGCAACAGTGGACCTGGAGGCGGGACCGAAAAGGGGATGAAATCGGTCAAAATGACGGGTCAGTTTCTTTCTCTCTTTCTTTTTTGTTGATCTCTTTTCGGAAATATTTGCTTAACTCGTGAATCCTCGGCTGTACGCAAATGTCTATGTGGCAAAGGGCTGCATCTGGGATCTACTGATCGAGACTGGCTAATCTAGTCAGTGAAAGTCGTCTATTTGTAGCTAAGGAAAGGGAGAGATCGAGGAGGGAGAGAGAGAGAAGGGACGAGGGAGGGAGGGAGAGAGAGAGAGGGGGGAAAAATCCTCGTTTTGGCTGAGGATTCAAACAAGGGGGGGAATACCTACAGTTAACTACGAACGAAGTCCTGTGCAAAATGTGCGCCTGCCGTGCATTGACGACCTTTAACTAGGTAAGATTCGGCGTGTATCTGTTAGCTGGTGTCTCGCAAACTGGTAGATATTCGACTAGCTTAACCGTACTGAAGAAAGAGAGGAGGGTGATATCCGTTCTCGGAACAGGTGCATTTAGAGGAGGAAATATTCCTTGCGAGCATTTTTTTTTTCTTTTCAGCTCGCGCGCTGTCCGGAAGGGAAACGACATGCACGGGGTTTTAGTTTCATTTATTGAAAAAGAGAACTGTTTCGATTTGGGGATGTGGAAGACGTGTCTGTTCGCAGTATTGGTATATATTAGCTGTCTGTAAGGACACCCGTCGTTTCATATTATGCACCCCCTCCACCATCACCACCTCCTGCCTCCGGTCCAAATGAAAAATGGCCTTTGTGGGGAGGCGACTCGGTGGTTGGCAGAGAAGTCGGTGTCTAACTATATACCGGGCTCCGGACTTGGAGAAATATGCGGCTTTGTCGCATGGAAATCTCTTGTCAGTGTAAGGTGATTTAACCGCCCCGAGTTGGACTTTGACTGGCAAAGCGAATTGCAACGGGACTTACGGCGTTTTAGCGAAATATACCGATACGATTTAATGTAATGGGATACTTTCACTCTTTACTTTTGTCTGCAATTCTGGCTTGAGCAGCCCCCCCCCCCCCCCCCGAAGTTTTGTGGCATGTGTTTGAGGAATTTTATTCCTTTCCCACAAGTTCACCCGAGTCCTCTACTTACTTGTTATAATAAAAATCCGAGCCATACAATACACCTCTGTCAGCAAGTTTGTTGGACCAACTTTATTTTCTGTGTGTGACTTGTGATCAATCGTTCAATATCTGATTTCTAATGGTCATTTGGGGAAAGGGGTAATGGTCACTTTGACTGATCAGTGTTGCGCATCCCCGTTTATATATAGTTGACATAAAAACAAAAAGGCATAAGGCGTGCCTAACATTGTGTTGGTCATTTTATTATTTTGCCCACGTCCTTTTCTCCATGGAAACGTTTTAATCATTCAAATGGGGAGGGGGGTCCGTCTTGCGGTCTTCCGAAATTAAATGCAGAGCAGCTGAAAAGGGGAACAGAGCCGGTTTAATGATCACATCCAACGCGCAAATGCTGGTTTTTGATCCAATTTTTAAATCTCACATGCCATTTGGACTGTTATCTGCCGTTTAATGCTGTGTTTCAGCCGCAGTACAGTTAGGCTCTTGTTAATCCACTTGAGGAAAACAGTTCGGCGTTTTCTATCTCGATTTTATATACACACTTAAATTTATATAAATCATGCATGTCCAAAGATTTGTATGTATACATAAATAGGTTAGAGGACGTAAATTATTGAAAGAGGTCCCATGATAAATTATAATTAAAGTTGTATTTCAGGTGGGATATTTTAAACTAATCGATCCATTATTCTGTTGAGAAAAGAAAAGAAATGCGATTTATGTTACAAATCTTGTTACATATTTTTCAGTTTGTTTGGCACAGCTACATACTTTGTTTCAAGTGATGTCCTATAACCGTTCCTGATTTTGCATTGGATTTTCCCCAGTGAACAGTGGCCGATATTCACCTTTACAGGCCTTTGCTATTCATCCAGCGGTATTTCACGTTATTAATTTCCGCAAAAATGTAGCAGCGCTCATTAACACTGCTAATCTTATTTAATGTGTTTCACGTCATTGCCAGTTGACACGTCCAGAATATAATTTAAGCGAAGCACTACAAACGTGTGTATATGCATTTAAGTGATGCCGGTTTTAATACATGCTTTCGGATTTTGATTCAGTGTCGTTCAAGTGAAAAGTAGACGCAGCAGTTGATTTGTGCACTTTGGTTATAGGTGATTATGAGTTAACATGCGCATAACACAATAGCTAACGTTAGAAGGCAATTGACCTTTCCTACCACCAAAATCACTGCTTCTGTTGATTCGATGATCACCATTAATGATTGTAGTAGTTATGAATACGAGTCGTCATAGCTGTGTATCTTTTGGTGTGTGAAGAAATTCTTTGCAGGAATAGATTTATTTTATTTGCATCGTAGTGTGTAACTTTAGGAGGGTCTCTGAGGCCTGAGTCGTTTTGTCATATGTGCCTTAAGTTTTGTGGCACATTGGGGGTTGCCATGCAGTTCAAAGACTATGTTCTTGTGAGGAACAAGGGCTTCGGTTCTCTTTGATCTCTCATTCAGACAAATCACATTTACCCAGCTCCGTCTTAAGCAGGGGGTGTATGGCTTCATGGTTTAAAGTTTGTCCCCAGAATCCCCACCCCCAACTTGTGAGAGGTGGTCTACTATTGCATTGTTTGCTTACCCTGTGCAGCATTTTGCATCTGGTTCTATGTAGTCCTTGTATTTTTGTTATATGAAAGGTATTAATGATTAAGTTATCAATTTTTTAAAAGGGAAGACTAATTGTATAAGAAAACAAAACCACTTTCTGCTACAGTACGATTACTTCCTCATAGCCAGGGGGCAAGCTGCTGTAGTTGCTTTGAAATAATCCCTGTTGTTTTCCTTCTGGGATATCATTTACTAACACTACTGTTCACTTTAAATACTTTCCAGGATTGGGCAATCCTAGGCGACTGCTTGTACATTTCTAAAGCAGTATTTTTAAAGCAGGTGGGATTCCTATGAATATTTGCAGGAATTGCGGTTGATGCAGCATGCTGTTGTTCCAGCTGTAGTGTTCTTCTGTTTTCCTCCTGCGGCTCTTCTGAAGTGTGCGCATACTATATTTTATTTTGAATTGTCTGGCTTCAAAATGGATTCCAAAATAGCAGTTCCTCCTTTGGAATGTGGGGTATGGGGTCCCCATGAAGCCATTATACAAGGAAAAGCCATTATCCAGTGATTGTCATCAACCGCCCTGTCTTATGGCTGTGGCCCGAGCACAGCTTCCATTATAAATCACACAAAGCCTCCTGCCATGATTTGATATGAGATTAGGAGCTCTGATGCTGTGTGTGTGTGTGTGTGTGTATGAGTGTGGTCTAGGTATACATTACATTGTGGGGACCACATGTCCGCACAATGTGATAAAAGCCTGTTATTTTTACATTGTATGGATCTTTTTTTTTCCCTGCCCCACAAGCGCAAACGCAATTT